CCCCAAAACCCCAAAACCCCAAAACCCCATAGCTGTAGAATGTTGTTATTTGTTAGAGTTATGAAATTAAAATAGTTCTTGAATAATCATGATTTGCTTAGTCAGAAATAGATTCATCTCCAGAGTTTAACCAAGCCATCTCTGCCACAAGAGACCAAAATAGGTTCTTGATTGCTCAATTCAATGATACCAATGTCTAGAATACTGTCTGAGTGGCTTATATTTTGTGAATCTCTGTAAAGATAATCAAGTCCGTTTCCAGAGACCTCAGCCCCATTGACAATACCACAGCCTTAGTTCATTTGAATGCCATTAAATTACTGCCATTCTGAGATACCATTGAAATTATAGGTGACATCTTGATCATTCACTTTGTCAGTCTAGAAACTCTGAGTTCTGCTGCTTTATCCATTATGAATATCACTTTGATTAGGACCGAAGTGATCATTACCAGACATCAAGCCACCAAGGATAGAGTAATAAGTTGAATTCTGATAAGGAATGTAATTATTATTAGTCTAGATTCCATTTTCGAATTGCTTAGAAGCCAAAAGTGAGTTTACTTAAGGGAACTGCTTGAATTATTGCACTTTCTCTTAGACTACTTTGACATCACCTTAGAATTCCTCTTAGTAAATGCATTCATCGTCGTTAGGTGTATTGATTTGATAACTTCTCTATTTAAGATTAGAGAAGTCCCAGAATCTCAACTTTCTATCATTGCCTCCTGTGATGGCATAGTTTACTGTCTCTGGGTTGTAGAGCATGCTGTTGTATCTTCTTGGGACAAGAATCTTTCTGCAAGCGTTTCCAGACTCAAAGCCACTTTTAACCATCATATATCTATTTTTGGAGTGCTTGAGCCATTCTTCATCTAGGTTACTGAGCATGTTTTGTTGCTGCTAACTAATCATACCCAAGAAATGCTGGGAGTTCTTATTTGATTAGAGATATCTCCTAAATAATGATGAGTTCTTTTCTATCCTCTTAATGCCTGAAGCGCTTGATGGTAGTTCTGTTGATTCCTAGTAGAAAGAATTAATCTCTTGCAAATAAGAAGGAACCTGTGGTAAATTGCCAACTAAATTCTCCTTATTTCTCTTATCATCTACAGTTAGCAGTATTTCCACATCACTAGTCTGCAAGTTCAATAGACTCACTTCGTAGTTAGAAGTTCCTGCACTGACTAGAACCATAGGACTGGTGTAGTCACTTCTATTCAGGCTTAAATTAGATTTTCCAGGGTGGAATGTAGCCAATGAGTTGATTGGAGATCTTAGGTAGTGCTTTTCGTAGTGAGAGACTACATTATACCTTACATCATAAACCATGATATAGCCTCCAATCGTGCCAAAGTATAGTTGGTATGGATCTTAACCAATAGTCATACAAGTAGCCATGCCTCTTTAACAGCCAAATAGGTCGTATTATGAACTCACATCATACCTAGACCTAAGATCGTGGAAGTACAATGAACCTCGCTAAGTTACATAGGCCAGTAAATGCTATTGTTGAATCGGTAAGATCATGTTATTGCAAAGTGTAATGTCACCCTCGTCTCTTCTCTCAATGGTCTTAATGATTGAAGTGTGATTAGGCTCATTTTGATTATTGATCGCAAATGCAGTCTAGGTTGTTGTAGTTTGCTACCCTCTATTCATGTATGAAGCAGTGGTGTTGAATCTGCGTTCCTTGACAAACTAACTGCCCTGCAATTCCTATTCTACTCTTCCCATTTGATAAATGTCAATGCAACCCGAAGAGCAAGCTAATGCAAAGTAGTTAGAGTTGTCCATTGTTGTGATTTGATTCACCTGACGCTTGCATTTAATGCTAAAAGAACTGTGGGAAGTGACATCAGACTCGATGTCTTTGGTTTTCCAAATGTTGACCATGTTATCTAGCTTGCTACCAGTAAAGAAGAATTGAGAGTCATCTGTAATAGCTAGTGCATTCACTGGATTTTTATGCTCGTATAGAGTTGTGATCAGTCTTCCACTTGGCCTCCAACTAGCAAATCTGCTTCTCTATTATCCTAATTGATAGAATATGTTGCTTGCCGAAGTCACTTGTACTGTTGCAGTCCTTGCACTCTTTGAGAACTAGGGTATCTGCTAGGGCTGAGAAGATGACGACTCAATTTACAGCTATGAGCCAATCTGCATGATTTGTGTCGATATTTACTGAAAAAGATTTGTGTTTTTGTATTGAACTAGTGGTATCTCTGGGTCCTCAGGCACAATATGCAAGCCCTGAAGCATAAAATCGAATTCGAAGGTCATAATGCCCTGAGCGTTGTTTAGTACACGTTTGTTAATTCCATAATTATCACTGTCTTAGTCTTGTTCCTTCACATTAATCACAGGATAATAGTTTTGATCAAGGTACTCTTGAGAATTCATCTGTTCTCTGAAATCATTTGCAAGCAGATCCTATTCGTTGTTGTCGTCCTGAACAATCTGCTGCTGATAGCCCTTGTCCTTATCATTTGAGTCATTTGAAGTTTTCTTAGGTTGAATGTAGTTCTGCTGAGCCCCAGTTATGCTGTTTCCAAAGGCTATTCCTGCAATCTAACCAATTACACTCTTTGAAACTATTCTGTAGGTCTTGACTCTCTCCTTCTTTCTTTTGAAATCATCATTATATTCCTGCTCAATATCTTTCTGAAGTCTTTCTCTTTTGAATGACTGATGGAACTATTTGGCATTTTGCAATACATCTGAAAGTTTGACTTTAGCCTCTTTATCCTCTTCTGATATATTAGAGTTCATTTATTGCAGCTAAAGCTACTTCAGATGAGGGTTATTTTGATTTCCTTTGATTTCTAATTCATATATCTACCTTGAGAGTGGAGGCTTCAGCTTGCAAAGTCTTAAGTCATCCCCGTATATTTCATAAACTTTCTCTCCCTTCTTTAGATATTACTTTAGTTTTGGTCTGATAATGCAATAGGCTTCTGCTTTTGAGAGTACTTTGTTTTCAGGATTGGCTAAGAACTTAATGAATCTGACCACACCTTCTCTTATCCAGGTGTTAGGGTGAAGCAAAAATGGCATAAGTTTCTCAAGATTTTCTAGACTATCCTTTTTAGATAGTAATCCAAACTCTAAAAGTTTATTCAAAGTATTGATCATTTCATGCACTACTGACTCTTCGGAATCATATAGTAAATGAGTACAAGTGATAAGTAAGAACTTCGCCAAAGTTTGTTGACCAACTCTTAATCCTAAATAAGGTATTCCCTTCAAGCATTCCATCTAAAGATCATTAGATTTATAAACTTACTCTTAGCATAAAGTCTTTTTTGTTGAAGCAAGAGTTACTTAAAGGAATCAGGTTATCTATTGTTAACTTCCTACCAAAGAATACACTTAGATTGCCAAGATTGTTATATAATATTCTTTGTAATGTTGGTTCTGTTTCAGACAAAATATCATTAATGATTGAGAGGATTACTCTTCTTAATTTATCAAACTCAGTATCATAGTTCACTATATACAAAGGATTATGAAGATGAGTAAATTACCAAATACTTCCTACGCATCTTGTTAGTGTCTGTGATTATGCTTTTGTGAATGTAACTTATCATCTCTTATGACTACTGTATTTCTTTGATTCATGTGATTGACAGTCGACAAAAGATTCTCATGTTGAGTAAACATTCTTTCTGAATCATCATCAGATTCTTCATAAGGGTCATCCTATTGTGAAAAGCCTTGCTTTTGCTCTTCAGACTCTGTATCTTTTGTTGAAATATTGTTAACATTCACGCTACTTGCTCTTACACTCATCTATCTTCTTTAGAATCTACTACCAATAGATAATTCCATAAATCTGTGGCCTATTTATGCTAACATTGGTAAATGCTGTACAAAAACATGCTGCACATATTAGTCTTTGCTGCTCTCATTTTTAAGTTTAAGGAATGCAGGCAAAATGTAATTATCAAAGATTTTGTAGTCAGTAGTTGATAGTGTGGTCAAGTAAGCTTAGTCCAAAACATCAGCAAACATCATCACAGTGACTTCAATTGCTTTGGCCTTAACTTTAGAGTTTTCATCTTCGAACATCTGGAGGACATAAGGCAAGATGAATTGAAGTCTGATGTCGAAAGATGATTCAATTGCCATTTTGTAGAGCATTTCAAGTCCACAGCATCTACTTTAAGGATAGAAGCAGCTAGTTAAAAGAGTTCCAATCCAATGAACAGCCACTAATATTGAGTCTTTATCTTCTTGCGAAGGTTTATGATTGTCCTCAGATATTGTCTCATACATTGCTTATAGATTTTACTTGGATAAGAAGACAAATAGTTCATTGCTAGGTACTAAAAATGCCTCGAAATCCTTAATAGTATCTTCTCTTATTCTTTCAAATACGAAAGGCTCAATCGGTTCATTAAATTTTTCAGTAAAGGAGGCGTTTCTTTTTCCAAAACATGAAAACCAAATAGAACTAATGTATTTTCTGATTAGGGAAATTTTCATGTCCGAAAACATATATTATGGTCTGACATAAGTTGCTGCAATCTGGAAATACACTTGATGAAAGGATTTAGGGAAAACATCTTTGTTCCATCTAATTATATACTCACTAATTGGTGCTCTCTTGTGTGGATCTCTATGGATCATACTCATTATTAAGTCTACTATTTTTTGATCTTTGATTCTTTTCTGAAGATCTTCTCTTGGATCATATAATTTTTTTCTATAATTTTAGAGCCTGGCCAAATCGAATAATGGATGACCATCCATGAAAATCTCAGCTATAACACACCCTGCAGAGAATATGTCCATTGAGGGATCCAAGTACTTTTTATCAAATTGATCGTCCAATTATCCGGCTACGAATCTCTCAGGAGCGATATAACATCTCAAATTGTTATCTAGCTCACCAAAGTATAGATTGTAGGATTTAAGGTCATCCTCTCCTAGCAATGAGGGCTTATATGGCACTTAGTCGGTTATGAATAACCAATTGTATGATGTAAGGACTATATTGGTAGGTTTAATATCGCCATGCACCATTTTCTCTGAATGGATTTAGCTGACTGCACACAGTAACTAGAATACAAGCCATTTCTTTTCCATCATTGATAATTTCGGAATTCGATGGAGTTTCTCTTTTAGCTAATGACATACATATTGTCTAATACCTAGAAGAGCCTTCTTTTGCACATTGAAAATCCTATCGTAGACTAGGACATTAGGATGTCTATAGAGATTGAATACTGACCGAATGTTGTTGACTTCATTCTCTAGGTATTTAAAGTAGTCATCATCTATTCTGGAGAAGTGGAATTTGCATACAATTGGCCCCTCATCTTCAAGAGTACTAAGGATAGTCTTGTATAGCAATGTCTCATCTATTAGAGTTAGCTTAGTATAATGGACATGAACTTACTTAACGACATTTTATAGCTCAGTTGTGGAAGATACTTCAACAAGAAGGTCTCTACACTTTTGTTCTGCTATTATTGGTTGCCCATTTTCTCTCTTTCCTGCTAATAAAAACTAAATGATCTTATTAATTATATTTGATCAATAGAGGATACTCACTTAATCATTTATTAATAATCTATACGATTCACATCAGATTCAATCATTAGGGGTTTTGGGGTTTTGGGGTTTTGGGG